ATGCTTTTGCGCAAAAGCACTTTTTGCGCAAAAGCATCCGTGCCAATCTAGACCCTCTTTTGCAGAAATATTTTAACTGAAAAACTTTTCCGTTAAAAGTATTTCCGCAAAATCATGCCAGTCTAGACGCAGCCAAGGTGTTGTTGATTGTGTCTGCAGGGTGGAGGGGCAAGAAGGGGGAGAAGGGAGGGCAGGGGAAGGGAGGGGTGGGGGAGCAATGGCACAGAGGGGTACTGAGGAGGCCAGGGGAGTGTCCTTGTCTGGAACTCTCACTCAGGGCCTCCCGGATGTGCACAGCCCCTTAATGGGGCTGCTGGATGGCAGCTGTGCACAACTGTCCAAAGATCCTGGCCAACCACTCGACCTCTGGCCCCCACTCTGGCAAGAACATCTCCCCCTTATTTTCACAAATATTGTAGAGGACACAGCAGGCCGACACCACCTGGGGGATGATTTGCTTGCCAAAGTTCAGGCGGGTGAGGAAACAAAAGAACCTCCCTTTGAGATGGCCGAAGGTACCCTTCACAACCATGTGGGCTCTGCTGAGCCTGGCATTAAAACGCTCCTTTGCAGGGTCCAGGCGTCCAGTATAGGGCTTCATCTGCCAGGGGAGCAGAGGGTAGGCTGCTTCCCCCATGATGCACATGGGCATGTCCACATCCCTGACCCTGATGGCACAGTCAGGGAAAAAGTGCCAGCATGCAACTTCTGAAACAGGCTGGAGTTCCTGAAGCTGTGGTGTCGTGCACCTTCCCCGACCACCCAATGCTGATGTCTGTGAAGTGGTCTCAGTGGTCCATGGGGGCCTGCAGGACCATGGAAAAGTGTCTCTTCCAGTTGATGTAGTCTGATGCCCAGTGGTTTGGGGCCTGGATGGGGATCTGGGTTTCATCAATGGCCCCCCCACAGGTGGGGAAGCCCATGGCAGCAAAGCCAGTGATAATGCGGTCCACGTTGCCCAGGATGACAACCCTGTGCAGCAGGATGGTGTTGATGGTCCTCACCACCTGTAGAAGGAGACAAACAGAGACACACAGGATTGCCAGGGCCCTTGGGAGTTCCCCAAGCCCAACCCCTACATCCCACACACCAGAACTGTGACAGGCTGCTGACTAAGCCAAAACTCTGCCACTTTCGTCTGGCTAAAGAGGCTGAGGGAAAACAACTAAGCAAGGCCAGGCCTGAAGGGCTATTGGAAGCAGCTGTGGGCCTCACTGGCAGAGGAAGGCAACTAGGAAAGAGGCAAGGAATGCAAGGGGCCAGGGTGTGGCTCAGTGTGCTCCCAGATAGGCAGAGGAGCTGGCTGACTTGACTGTAAACAGAAGGTGGTGGGAGCTAACAATAAAAGCACAGATGACTGCACCAGAAGTGTCTCTGGTTGATTTGTGGACCAAATGGTGTCCCAGACCAAGGGGCCTGAGTGGGGACTCTGCCACATGTGGTACCAGGAGTGGGGTGCAGCGCCAGCAAATGTGGTTGGTGGCCCAGAAATGGAGGAGACCCTGCAGCGGCTGGTCAAGCAGCAAGAGCAAGTGCAGGAGGCCCTGCGAAGCTTCCAGCAGTCCCACCAGGCAGAGAGGCAGGGATTGCTAACTTGGCAGGCAGAACAACAGGAAAGCCTGCAGGAATTTATAAAAGAGCAGAGCACAATGCAGCAGCAAGTCCTGAACCAATTGGTGAGTCCTGGGGGAAAGGGATAGTACCTAACCACTAGGCCTGGGACTCTGTAAAATGGGGCCAGCCGATGACCACAATGCATTTTTTAGGACATTTGAGCGGGTAGCCATAGGTGCTGGATGGGACAGGGCTACCTGGGCCCTGCGTCTGGCTCTCTATCTGGCAGGAGAGGCTCAAGAGGCCTACGTGGCCTTGAGGGATGATGAAGCTCATAGCCATGAGGCAGTAAGAGCAGCCATTCTGGACCGGGTGGGTCTGTCCACAGAAAAGTACTGGCAGAAGTTTCGGTCATCTTGATGGACAGCAGCATTGAGGACCCAGGCATTTGCCCAAAAGTTGTTAGACTGGGCAACCCGTTGGCTGAGGCCAGAGGCACGGACAGTACAAGAAATACTGGACTTGCTTGTACTTGAGCAGTTGCTGCAAGCCCTTCCGAAGAGTATCCATGTGTGGGTCATGTGCCACCAGCCAGACACGCTGGATGCAGCGGTCAGGTTTGTGGAAGAGTACGTCAAGGCAGAGGTTCCCCGGAGAGAAGGCCGACCCTAGAGGGACAAGGAACCAGGGAGGAAGCTGGGGGAGCCCCTTTCTAAGAAAGGTCTGGAGAGGAAGGAGTCACCCTGAGGAGCACCTGTGGGGGCTGGCACAAGGACCTGCTGGCAATGTAGAAGGCCAGGGCATAGAAAGCGGGACAGCTAGGACAATATGGATTGCGGACATGTGGGGTTCTGTGGGTTGACTCAGGTGGGAGGACCTGATAGGAGGCAGAGTCTGCCCACTGTCCAGACACAGGTGGGGAGAAAGGCCTGGCGAGGGCTAATGGACTCTGCATCAGCCCACTCGCTCATGTGGAAGGGGCTGGTAAGACCAAACTGGATGCTCCCTGTAGTAAAGGTGGCACTAGAATGTGTCCATGGGGACAAGAGGTCCTGCCCAGTATCCCACGTGCCTCTGGAAGTGAGAGGCCAGTTCCAATGGAAGCGGGTGTGGGTAATAGAAAGGTTACCATACCCTGTGGCGGTAGGTCAGGACTGGGACCAATCTGCCACAAAGAGCAAGAGGGGAGCCTCAAGGAAAGTCAAGAGATCTCCCCAAGGGAGACTGAGGCACAGCCGTTGGTGCTATGGGTGTGGGGAACTAGAACACATAGTTGGGCCGTGTCCCAACCTAGTGGGGATAGAAAGATGGAAGGTGAGTCTGGCAGTAATGGGTAGCCCTTCTCCCTCCCAGGGAGAGGAGAAACAAGTGGATCGTTCCCCAGAACAGCTCCTAGAAGTGGACATCAACCTTGTTTGGGGAGATGAGAGAAACTGAGGCACAGATGGTGCCACACAAAGGGGAGAGAGACCCTGATTCCCCAGTGCAGGTCAGAGCAGTACTGGAGGAAGGGCCCCAATGAGGGGGCGGGGGGTGTGAACACCTCTGGGCAATACCTGAATTATATGGGCCAGGCCCTTTCCCCTGTGAATTTTGTGGGGAGGGAACAAAAGAGCCTCCCGGAAAAGCCCCAAGGGAGGGTTTGGGCACAGGTGGGGATTTGCCCAGAAGGGACCCCTTGGTAAGGACCTGAGTGGCCCAGGGAGGGTGGAACCCAAGAGCAAGGGACAGTTCCCAAGGAGGACCCTAAGGAAAAAAAGGGGGAAAAGGCTCCCCAAGACAGAGAGAGTTAAGGAGTGGCAGCCCTTCCATAAGGGGGGAGGACTGTGACAGACTGTTGGCTCAGCCAGAGCTGTGCCACTTTAGTCTGGCTAAAGAGGCGGAGGGGAAACAACTGAGCAAGCCCAGGCCTGAAGGGCTATTGGAAGCAGCTGTGGGCCTCACTGGCAGAGGGCTATATAGGGCAAAGGAAGGAAGCCAGGATGTGGCTCAGTGTGCTCCCAGATAGACAGAGGATCTGGCTGACTTGACTTGACTGTAAATGTTGTAAATAGAAGGTGGTGGGAACTAACAATAAAAGCACAGGTGACTGCACCAGAAGTGTCTCTAGCTGACCCGTGGACCAGAAGGTGTCCCAGACCAAGGACCAACCCCCAATATACCCCATCCCCTGGCAGGGCTTTGTGAAGGTGGGACTGAAAAACCCACCAGGGAGGGAGCTTTCACCACCCCTCCTCCTGCCCTAGCGAATCCCATTCCACTAGTTTACTACCCTCCTGGGACAATAGAATGAGAGAGTCATACCTGGATGACCACGACTCTGATGGTCGATCTCCCTATGCCGAAACGGTTTCCCACAGAGCAGTAGCTGTCCAGCGAGGTGTGATGGGAACACACTTCTGGAGGGGGATGGCAGGTCTCATGTGGGTGTCCACTGCTGGAGGGCAGGGGCGAACCACTCGCAGAGCTCCATGAAGGTGTCCTCCTGCATGTGGAAATTCTGCAGCCACTGCTGGTTGTTCCACCGCTCCATGACGATGCAGTCCCACCAGTTGGAACTGGTGTCCCGGCACCAGAAGCGGTGGTGCACGGTGTGCAGAGGAGGGTGAGAGGGGTTGTGCTGCACGCACAGCACATGGAGCAAGGAGAGGAGGTTCCCTGCAGGGAGCAGCAGGTCCTGTTCCTGCAGAGCTCTGAAGACAGCCTGCAGTAACTACACCAGGAGATGTGGCAGCAGGTCCAAGAGCTGGCAATTGCTTTTTAGCAGGCCCAGCTCCATGCCTGGGAGTGCTGTGATGTCCGCAAGGGAAACCAGAGCACACAGAGAAAAATTTGCTGTCCCTCAAGGAGGAAGGCAAAGGTGAAGAGCCTGAGACACGACTGTTGGGGGGGGGTCCCTTTATGCACAAACCCCAGCT